AATAAGGAAGAATTTTTTGATAGACAAATATTTCAGAGTTTTATTTCCATTATTTATTGGAAAAAAATGAAAACAGGGATGTTGAAAGGCAGACCCCCCCTTTGAACTTCTACATTTTTTTTTTTTTTTAAAGCACAATCTTCAGAAGTTCTAAATATTCTAATACTACAGCAAACTTACCTCACAATTTCTGCAAAGTCTGAACGTTGCGATAAGAGTTTTCTAAATAAATTACCATTTAAAAAGTATTTAAGACTTATTTTGCTTTTGGTCTTTTTACATTGTCTGCATGACAGCAATTGTTGCAAGAGAGTAGAGCTTTACAATGTCGTCGATGGTTTTACAAACAGAAAAACAAGCAAAATAGTAATATAAAATATTGGAATTAAAATGTTTACTTAAAAAATAAACATAGTTTTTAGTTTCTTTTCCTACATGTCATTTTCATATTTTTCAATTATTTGCTTACTTACTGAGAGGGGCGGCAAACTCTGGGATTGCTCCAGATGGCAAAATGTCTGGTTACCACAATGCTTAAAATCATACATATCTTGGGAGAAATGAATGTGTTCTCATTTGAACACTGAATAGGGCATAGTGAGATTGGCTTATTCAGATTACGGCAAAGCACACTAGGGCTACCTGCCTAAGGGGAGGGATGCCTTTGTGGAAGACTTTCTAAGGGAAGCTGGCTCGTATACAAGTTACACATTGGAAAAACCCCGAAAATGCCCATGCAATCAGCCTGTTCGTGGGATTTGAACCTGAGACCGAACTACCAATGTTCAGCGACTTTACTGCTTGGCCACTGCTGGGGGCCCGAATAGGGCATATTAGTAATGACTACTTTCCTTTTTCACTTTTTCCATAAGGGCACAAATTCACATACTCTTTGACCTAACACTCTTCATTCTGTAGTCAAAATTTTCTGTGTCAAAAATTTATCCTATGGCAAGATGAAAGCAGAACGCATTCTACATTGAAGTTACGGTGAGATTTGAAAATACAAAATGGATGTAGATAAATCAATATCAGCTAGGAATACAGTTTACCTAATCTACAGTTAAACCATATGGAAATTTTTGACTTTATGATTTCTGCTTATGGGAGAAAATTGGATACAGAGGAAAAGCTGAAAAACACTGAGCATAAGGATGTTGAAGAGGCATTGTCATAATAATTCACTATTTAAAGAAGTCACGATCTGGCAATATCTGGACAGATTACTTCAGATTAAGGCTAATGAATTTACCATACACATTACACAGACTCCTATTTGCACTTAAATGGCTGACTGGATAGGTTTAAGAATGTTAATAATACTTCAGGAAATATTTAATGACTGCATAAAACAAATAACTTTAATTAACCCTTAATACAATTTCTTTAGAGATATTATTCACTTCAGTTCACACACTTGGCATTTGTGTGTGTGTTGATTCAAAAGCCAATTTTTTCAGTTCTTTGTAAGACAAACCAATTTTCTTATCAGATTGGATATAGCACACCATAAGGTATAGTGAACCAATATTTTGCTCCTTGAGTTCATTATAATGAGATTCTTCTTTTCATATTTAACACTCATTCCCGTCAAAAATGAAACAGCCATATTCTGTAGGCACAGAAAATACTTCATGGTTCAGAACACCTACAATAATTAATATTTAATCTACTCTATAAAATTACGACTTCTACTAAACTTCGGGAAACCACAAAATCTCCACTTATTGCTCTCATATTATGTAAAATATTTCCCATGATGCGCAAATGCAAATGGCGCCTGTTTCTTTTGCAGATGTACTCATTTTTGTATTCCCATTTAGAAAGTTTAAATTAATTTCTTTTAAATGGGAGCTAAGTGTTACATTTCTTAAGAGAATACTTGCCCTTCCATATATGCAATAATAGTAAAATTGAATCTACTTGGAGGATATTTAGCAACTTCACAACAATTTAAACCCCTATATCTATATGCATTTTCTTCGCCTGTTACCTCTTCTGAACCCATTTACATATCAATATTTTACTATTTCAGAAATAGAGTCTTTTTATCCTTTATTAAAACGTGTCATTTTTCTGAACCTGATTCATTTAGTTAATAGAAGCATAAACATTTGCTTTATGACCATTGTTTAAGCTCTAAAATTACCATAAACACATGGCATGAAGAAAAACCTGGATGCAAGGCAACAACTTCCTTAATCATGAAGAAAAGTATATAATGACTATAAAGCCATCTATGTCTTTAAAGTCAGCTCCCACAAGTTAGTCCATGGATTATTACTGAATAAAATTTTTATCTAGCTACATACAAACCCTGAAATCAGAATTTGAAGCATTTCCTAAGACTCATTTCCACACATGACGAAAGAATGTGCACAAAAATTAGCATATTTACATATCTGTGCAGTGAAGGTGAATCTTGGACTGGGTAATAATGTTAACTTTGAACCAGATGCTTTGCCATCCAGATGATATAGTGGTTAGGGGAGCCTGACTGTGATACCGAAGGGCTTGGGTTCGAATCCCGGAGAAGGTATGGTTGTAACTGTCTGTCCCCTTCATAGGAGGCAATGGTGGCCCACCTATTAAGTGCCTCCATAATAAAGAGACCACCAGATCTGTCCTTAGAATAGATTAATGTACTCTGTTACATCTGTAACTGTTCACTATCTGCCATTGGGGGGAAAAAAAAAAACTTGAGCTACCAAACACCTACCTTTAATTAGACTTAAGAAAACACTGGGCATTGGCATCAAAAACTAAAGGAACAACTAAAGGAAAGTGCTTTAATTTCATCACATAAAGTCCAAAGAAAAGTGGCTGGTGGATCAAGGTCATTATTATCACACATTCAAACAACAGAAGAAATTTTGCTAACAAATGTGAAAAATGTGTGTGCTTGTTATTTTGCTATGTCTGTAAACGAGTGCAAGATGGTGCTTCAATTTCTGATTTCAAGAACTGTTTGAGTAGCTGAGTAAAAGTCTTGCATGCTGAAGTTGGAACATATTGTTGGGAAGGCATTGGACAAACTAACAGAAAACAGCATATGTTTGGAGAATGGAAGTAGGACAGACATGGACATAGGTCTATAAAAGCCTTAAGTAACCACGAAAAATCCAGAAACAGGTTAAAGATACAGATTATGAACTAGGTTAAAAAAATGTGGCACAATAGGCTCACAGGAACATTTTTTGGTAATGGTTGCTAAAAGAAACAGAAAACTCACGTTAGCCCATATTCCAAAGCAGTTCACTGCACCTGAAGAAAATCAACTATCCAGATATACCAAGAGTGGCAAACTGCATAAAAAAGGGCTGTATACATGTAAAAAAAAAAAAAAAAAAAAAAAAAAAAGATTTGTGTCTCACTACCTCAGGCTATAAAATACAGAGATTATCAATGTAATATGAAAAAGATGAATTCTCTTTAATGATGAGTCTCGCTTTTGCATGGAGTTTTGCACTGTCCTGCTTTTCATGGAAGTTGGAATATATCCATGAAAAGCAGGGCTGTAAAGATGGTGAGATTATGGTATGGGCAGACAACATTTGGACACCCACACTGGTGTCCACACATTTTTAACGGTGTGATTATGAAGATGAAATATACAGTGATAAAGTTATTGATCCTCATGTCAAGTAATTCAGATGTGCAATCAATAATAACATTAGCAAATCATGCTGCAAAAGTGACCAAAGGTGAAGCAAACCAGAGGATGGTGTGGCCCATATATTCTTTGGCTCTAAATCCAAGAGAACATGAGTGGGACACACTAGAATGCCAACTTCCATCATTGCAGCCACCTTCTAACACTTGCCAAGAGCTTCAAGGCATTACCTATAGTGAACACATTTTGTTACCGCACGAATTCTCGCCAATCTAATACTCAACATGTAAAATCACAGCAAAGTATACATTTCAATCAGAGATGAAGACGCAAATAAATAATTTTTTCTATGTATGATTAAAAAGTTGAAACACCAACTCTTACATATCTTAATATCACATTCACTATGTTCTTATTTAAGTTATTTGTTGTAGAAATACACAGTTCTGCATTTTGAATATACATCAGGAACAGCAAATTGAAGGTCTTGTGCAAGTTCAAATGTTCTTACCTTCAAAGTCATTTACATATGTTTTTATAGTCATTCTTTTAATTTCCCCTGTCAGTGTAATTCCTAAGCAGGGCCAAAGCAGCAGAATTTAGAAGTGGTACCTTTTTTCAATTTAGAAAAACACTGAGCAATAAATAAAATAGAGATGGTAATTTTTTTTTTAAATTTAGGTTAAAGCACTGGAAAGTAAAATTTTTAGAATTTAAGGAGGCAATGGGCAGCAAAATTTAGAAACAGCAGAGATTTTACAGGGTGGGCAAAACGCCTAGTGCCAGCACTATTCCAAGGAATAATCTCAATTAAACTGTAAGCACTGAACGCTTCTGATATGAGCTAGCTTTGTTACGACCAAATAAGAGTTTATTAAGTTACCGTCTAAAAATAAATGACCTACTATTGAAAAAATATTCATTTTGCATTTAAAGTCTTTATTAGTAGGTAAAAAGGTGCAAAGAGTACATGCAGAAATATAGTAACTTGACGTCTATGTTTATCACCAACTAAGGTAAGATTTGGTTATTCAAATATGGCAAGATATAAAAGGATGTCTGCCTAAGGGGAGGAATATATTCATGAAAGGTTTCCTATGGGAAAGGCTCATACTCATGTTACTTAGATAAATCGTGAAAAACAACTATGTAGTTAACAAGTCTGCCTAGGATCAAACTCAGGTCGAACTCACAGCATTTGCAGTTTTAACCACCCTGCCACTAATTGGGCCTAACAGGCTATACAAAACAGATTAATGCTTACCTGAGAACCAACTGTAGGTATACCACCTTAAAATCACAAATATCATAGTTATCTCAAACTGATTAAGTATGAATAAAAACCACAATGTTTAAATAAATTTGAAAGAAATAAAATGTCCATTACCATCTATCTTATTTGCAGCACAAAGGCAAGGTATTTCTGGACGATATTCTCGTAACTCAGTATACCACCTTGTAAGGCTTTTATATGTTGGTTTCCTAGTACTGTCAAATACCTGCAACATAAAATAAATGAACATCTGAGTCACAATGCTTTAATTTTCTTCAAACCTGTTAATAAGAATTATGATAACTCATACTAAAATAACATACTTTGACACACATTTGCACTAGGCTTTGAAAATTACATGAAAGATGAAGAAACACAGATTATATTTTTTAAATTCTTTTTTTTGGGGGGGGTATTTTCTTGTTACCAGTATTAGCACAGGAAAAAAGAAGAAATTGCACATTTCATTCACACTTATTAAAAAAATTCCCCAGCATAATTTTACCATTATTTTGTAGCCTAGCCATTAGAAATGTCAAATGGCTAAAATGTTTGTAATCTTATTTTTAACAACATGCTGAGACTGCTAGAAAGAACAGACAGGTGATGGAGGCCGGCCGTAACTGACATTTACTAGAACAATAAACAGATGTATGCCCTCATCATCCACTATCCAGAGATTACTGAACAGTTAAAGAATTTACATTGCATAGTTACATGGTCATACAAGGGCTAGATGGCAAAACAATGACTACTATTTTGGAGACAGAGGCTGCAAGAAATATGTAGGAATATCAGAACATGAAACATGGAATATAAAATATAAAACACAAATACAACACATAAATAAAATACATATATAAGAACACGAAACATAAAAAGGAATACAAGTAAAATGCTGCACACAAATACAAAACAATTATATATGAAAGACATGTTTGATTATAGCTCTATACAGTTTATGAATTAACCAAGTTATTCAGAGTTCATCAGTTGTGCTTACACTATGCCATATATACATACTCCGCATTGATAAGATCATGCTAGATGAGACATGAAAGTTTGCACACAAGGTCTTGGTTAGTTAGCCTGATAGATGTCCTGTCCTAAAGATGCTTTATTTAGGATCTTGCAGATTTTTGTGATGGCTGCCCAAATTGTAACCAGGATACATTTGTACACTGCCATGTTGTTTGGGTCAGTTGAAGGTGATCATAGATGCAAAGGGATGGTAAGTGGACAACTGTGTATGTAATGGTCAGGGCTGCCCTCTTGGCCTTAAATGCAGACACTAGTAGTGCTGATACCATGGCTTTTGAAATAAGTTAAAAAAGGGCCAAGCTGGTGATAAAATGTCTGAATTGTAGGCTGATGATGTGGAGATCAGAGGAGATGTTTGAAATGAAGGAATGAGCATAACATCCTATACTGCTGTTATTCCATTCTTGTTGCCAGACAATTATGTTTTATGATGGAGAATACATTTAAGGTGGGATGAAGGAAGTGACATGTTGGCATTGCCTTACATCTTTGTCATGTGCCACCTCTTTGGCTAGATAGTCAATCATTTTTTCATTTCCTTCAAGTCCATTGTGTGCTTTTACCCCTACAAGTTAGATGTTGGTATGTTGGCTATTATGTAATTGCTCTTGGATGGCTGTTATGAGAAAGAAGTGTGCCAAAGATTCAGGATGGTGAGAAGAGATGATATTCTGTCAAAGTAGATAACTGTATATGGATTACTTTCTGTTTGATTGCAGAAAAACTTCAGCACGCAATATCAATTAATTCTGAATAAATCTTTATAACCTATATCAGGATTTTAAAGGTTCAACCCCTTCAGTCAATTTTGTCAATGCATTTCTTTCTCATAAATAAAAGGCAAATTATTTATTGAGCTAGAGAACGAATTCCAAGGAAAAATATTTATACTCTATTAATTTTCGATGATGCACAGTTTTTAACTTTGAAAGCTTTTGAAAGGAATACTTTCTACAAGATATGGAACAAAAATCATACTCTTAATTCTTAAGACATGATTTAAATGGCAGAAAATGCTTCTGATTCCATGAATATATATATATGAATCAGCTAAACAATACATAATAAAAATTATTTCATGATTTGCTTCAGATTAAAAAATACAAATTCAGCTAGTTGTATTTAGAAATGCAGCGCCATTTTGCAAATTCCCAAAATTTCAAAATGCTGCTAAATTTTTCAGAAGATTTACTTTTAATGAATGCGTTTACAGTTTTTCTACAGAACTACATATAAGGCTTCAGCAGCTAGCCTTAGCTGATATTCTCTTTTATGTGCAGAATCACATGCATCTTTTTCAAATGTATTTAAAATTCTAGATAGGAAGACCTATTCTGTGAATAATTATCAGTTATACTACATGAGATCTGACCGAAAAGAAAACAATTTTAGGGAGGGAGAATCTATACCTGTTTACAATGTACCTTCCCTTTCCCAAGAAAATTTTTTCTACTTATACACCCACCAATAACCTTCGGTGTGTTATTTTGTGGAATACTTGAATACTTATAAACTTTCTTTAGTCAAAAAAGTTGACAATTTAAACCAATAATGCTTCAAGGTGAATTTTAGCCTCTGAGAGCTATTATTAAATTTTGCACATAATGGTTATACAACTGTTTTATTTTTAATTCATTAAAGCATGATGAATGCAAACAAATGATACAAATTATGAATACTAATGAATTTTGCAGCAATACATTAGAGTACTACATCATATGTTATCCCACTGACCATGAAATTGTAACCAAGCACCATGATTTAGCATCAGTTATCCATATGTACTGTGCATGAAGACACAACACATAATTATCCGTGCTTTTCTTTGATGAAACTGAATGACTCTCGATAAGCCACCTTTGGTTTTTACAAACAAGGATATAAATTTAACTGTTAACATATTTTTTCCTTGCATTTTGGAGAAAAAAAAAAAAGGAAGGCTGCAGAATCACATTGGTGCCTGAATTCAAGTTCATTTATACCTGGTCGAGAGAATAAATATCTGTTGATCGAAGAAAAGAACAGCTGAGTATGGCCAACAAGCAGTAATAAATTGGAACAGTCACCCATGGCAATTTTATACTCAAAGTGTTCTAAAGAGAGCTTATGGTAAAATTCGGAAGGCTCGACAAAATAGCAGAAATTGATAAAAGCCTTTTTACGAAGTGAGTTATATACTTCTGCAACAATGTCCAATATGTGGACTGCAGAAAGAGTGATCAACGTATTACATATATGAGTACGAAAGTTAGTTTTACATTTGCAGAACTTTAACATCCACAGCAATGAAATTGTTTTCACAAAATGTTTTACCTTATTTTAGAAAAACAAAAAAACATTTTGGATTATAAACAGGATCTAACTTCAAAGAAATAGCCTATAGCAAGCCTTTTTAAAAAGAAAATGGAGATCTCCTATAGATAAATTTGCTTATGAACTGTTTATAACATCTTTAACACAACAGTTCATTTCTGAACTGCTTACAACTTCTGGAAATTATTTGACCGATACTATATTTGTAATCTTAATACTTTAACATCTCTCATCCACTGTATGAGAACACGCTAATATTAAATTAGGCAAAAAGCAACTTGATATAGATGTTTTCAGGTTTTATTATTTTCTTTAAAGAAGGAAAGGAAAAAAAAATTCTAGGGAAATTTTTTTTTATTCCTGAAGAAGAGAGACAAGTATTTGATCATCCTCAAAACTGATGCAATTATTTAAAATCTATGCCAAACTCAAACTGCTTTTTTTGGCCTACTTTTAAATGGTTTGACTAAAATTAAAAACAGGTTCTTTTGGTGACACAATCCCTTACTTGGCAAAATTTTTCTTACATTGGCAATTTTTATAATCTATTTTGACCTTTTGACTACTTTACTTCAGTAATTTTTTTTCCAATAATATGTTGACAATATTATTAATCAAACTATTGATGACAAAAAGTGATGTATTTTCCACGTTTTTGTATACACATGGGCAGTTTGATAACAATATCTGAATGATAACATAAATAAGATCACAGTCAAGGAATGTCTACTATTCTTCTATTTTCCCCATCATATACAGTGTTAATAGCTCTGTGTTCAGCAAGTAGTATACTGCAATGCAAAAGAAATCTTTAACAGTTAAATGTTTTTAATTTATGTCATTTTTACATCATTCTTTGTAGGAACATTTCAATTTTAAGAATGTGTTACTAAATCCAGCAGAAGTCAGGTAGTGACTTTTCAAATTCTGACAGCATTTTGATATTCTCATTCAGCTCTAAATATATTGACAAGTAAGTTACAACAATACATTTAGATGTGAACACAAAAACAGTATTTATAGGAACATGCAACCACACAATTTTCCCAATCTTTAGCCTGATTTTAATTTGATCACTTGACATAATCCTCAGTATATTTCATTAAAATTATAATTATACATTTGTGGGGCTCAAGTGCAAATAAGCCACATATTTTCAACAATGGTCACTAGGAATGACAGAAGCCAAGGTTGAGTTTTTGCTGAGGCAAAGGTGATAACATTTACAAAGTAATTATTTTTTGTATCATTTGTCACTACATTTTTTTTATTTTACACTAAAATTATTTTGCATATTTGTTACTATACTTCTGCTTAAAATTCTATTTTGTTTTTTCTTTCAAAATCTTCAAAACTCACCATATGATTTTTTACTGATCTAAATATATGTTGTTGTAAGTCATAATAGATATTATTTCAATTACCCACCAATTACTAGAGTTAAATTTTCAGAGCCAAGCTTTCTGAGCAGATGCTTTGTATCCTGGACGAAGTAAACAAGCCAAATTTTTGAAAACTTTATTTTCCATAAGTGAAAAGGCAAAGTTACATCTATTAAAAAAAAAAAAAAAAAAAAAAAAAAAAACTCTGTAAACTGGCTATGTCAATTTTCTCCTTATCACACTCAGTTGTTCTTTGTGCATATGCATCAAAAGACTTATGAATTACTTTACACTTAAGTAGTAGTTCCTCTATATTTTGAATATATTTTTTAGCTCCAATACCAGAAAATAAAATTCCACTATAATTTTTACAAACAGCAAATGTCGTACACAGCATCATTTTGAACATAGCCACATTTCTTATTTTTTGCAAAGATTTTGCCAACATCAAGTTAATGGAAATATCCTAATACTATAACTATAAGCTTAA